ATCTACCCTGTCATCACCTAATAAATTTATTCTATTGACTAAGTGTTAATTGAAAAGCGTTGGATGGCTATAGATATTAATACTCGCTACTTTTTTTTTGTTGATATTATTTCTATCACTATTAACAATGAAGCTAGCAAGTATATTAATTGTCTCTTTCTTTCTTGGTCTGTTTTTAACTGTTGTTCTATCGGATATGGAAAATAATGATGTGGATTTCATCGATGATAATCATCTTATATCCAAACGAAGTACATTTAATCAAGGATATGATGATAATGAACCACAATCACCAGGTCAATGTGTCCGATGTAAATTTGGTATTATTCGTTGTTGTTATCCAAATATTTGTGTTAAAAAACATTTGCGGCCAGATAAATGTCTTCGTATAAAGAGTGGCTAAAATTATTATTTTGTAATTTTTTTGTTTTAAGAATAAAAACAAAAACATGTTTGCTGTGATTAATTCATTTAATTGAAATCAAAAGAAAAAATTCGTTGACTTCAAAATCGGATCTCATTTCGTCGAAATTGTTTTGTTTTTAATTAGTAAAAAAATAAATCTTCAGAGAATAGAATCAATTTTTAAAGTACGTTTTTCTTATGACTATATTAAGTTTTGGAACTCACGTATATTTTCGAAGAAAACAGTGAGTGTATATTGTAAATCGAGGTTTTGCAGCTCACCCCCTCGCTAGGCCTCAGTAACGATGTGGCGCGAAATGAAAATTTTTTGGATAGATTTCCTTAACAACCGGAGTGGAAGCACACTCAAAGATTATTGAATGGGTGCCCACAGCAACGAGGTAAGATACGTAATTAATAAAGTTAATTAAATCATTTTGCAGTTCTACAGACTCCAACTATTCTAAATATTGACCTTTCAGCAATACGATCTTATCGAAGGTTCCAGTCAGTGAAACAGTGATATTATTTATTGAATAGAGTCAGAATAAGACTGAACTCTGAGTTTAGGTCAAACTCAACAGTGCATGTCGAAGTTCATCAAGAGAAAAAAATCATGTGTTTAAAAGCTTAGTGAACGATTCAATCGATGTTTATAACAGGTTAATGTGGCAGTTGATTAGACGAAATGAAGAGTAGATTGATATTTATCGCTTCATATGACATGTATCATATATATTATTATTAGGAGAAAAGAAATTAGGTATTGAAAATGTATCTGATGACGTAAATAAGCTTTGCTTGAATATAATGATGTTACATAAATCGAATAAATTTTAGAAGAAAAGGTAATTATGAATGCAAGCATTTTCCAAGTGATCCAATTCCAGTGCGTGCATATCAACTTTAAAAATAGTTGTAATTTTTATGCATTCACTTATTTCACTTTTTTTTTAAATAAATTATTTTATAACCCATGATTATATATCAAAAATTTAGAAGAACTACAAGGTATGAGTACTACATTTCAGCAGCGGAAGGTACTACACTGCTAAGTTTTTCAATATGAAATTGTTTTGATATTTTCATGAATATTCGTACATCAACATAATTAAATTCACTTTCAGGAATATTTAAATTTGGCTCGATAACTTCACGTGTCATGCGAATTTCTTGTTCATGTTATCCAGGAAATTTTAGGCTAAAATGAATATCGAATTTAATTGGTGCTATTTCAACGGTAATACTTGTTTGTGAACCAGCTGAAAGAAGTTCATTTGCTGGATTTACAAAAATACCTGCACATGGATTGGAATCAGTAATCTTAACGGAAAAAAAAACAATTTTTCTTCTGATTCACAAAAAAATATCCAATAAAACGATTTAATACTTGATAAGAAAAAAGATGATTTGTTCCTTCATTAATAACTGTGAATGATTCTTTTAATGTTATATTTATTAGTATCGATCCAAAATTAACATGATTTTCTATAATTTTGAATTTTACTTTACCAACTTCAGCAATACAATGAAGTGTTAATTTTGCTTCATAACTTGACAGTAAGGAATTTGCATTTGCTGGCGATTTTCGGGAACCATCTGTAGAAAAGATATGTAGAGTAAAACATTTTCCCAATTGTGCTCGAGTGCGACCATACCAAACAACCTCACTATCAACAGTTTGATATGGTTTAATTCAATGATTCCTAAAAGAAGTTTGGTTTTCGCAATTAAAATAAAATTTAAAGACCTGCTGCTAGACGAATTGAAAATGTCGTTCCTTTTGGACCAATAATTGGAATCCAACGAAATTCAGTCGAGACATTTAATGGATGATATAAATTAACAATTTTTCGAAATGAATCTTCAGCTGAAATATGTGGTAATGAACGTCTAAGAAGTTTCTCTGCTGATAATTGTACAATTGGTAAAAGAACATCAACTATAATTTTAACATAATGCCGATAAAAATTATTAATTAGAAATGATAGTGAACGTGGATAAGGAGCAATTTGTGTTGGTTCAAATGTTATTGGAAATTGTACATGACATTTTTCTCGTATAAATTGAGATAATGGCTATGTCATTTTTAATGTAGCTGAATCGATCTAAATGAAATATTGTTAGAAAAAAAAGTTTCCAAAAGAAGACAAAAAAAGACATGTCTATTTGAAAGATAAAAAACTGATCAAGGTTATTAAGTACAGATAAAAATTTTGTCACAAGTGCAGTAACACAAACTTCACCGAAATTGAATTCCGGTGGCTGTGAAAATAGAAGAAATTGTATAATTATTGAAAATTAAATAAAAAACGTACCAACAATAGTTTTCAATAATTGACTCGGTGATACAATTATTGCACAATCATTTTGTTTTTGTGTTAAAAGTACAGAATTACGTCCTTCTTTTATTAGCTACACTTGATAATGCTTGTTCTTTTTCAGCTGATTCAGATATTGTCGGTAAACAATATTTCTAATTAGGGATAAGATGAAACTTGAACATGAATAAAAGACAAATAATTTAATAACTTATATTTATTTTTAGATGTATTCCATTGATGAGAGGAGAAAGAAGATGTAAAATTTGACTACATCTACGATCTATATCGGTTTTGTCTTTCTGTATTTTATTTTCTACTATTATTTTTCATGTCTGAAAAACTTCTGCGTAGATGGAATAGAATATTTTTTGAATTAATGTATGCTTTGACGCATCTATTATTAGAAAAAGAAAAAGAAAATGAGTCTATCATAAGACGATTATTTAAGAAATGAATTTTATTGATATTTTCATGATCTTAAGTTAAATATTGAATGTGAAATAAATAATTCTTGCAAGAAATCTTTTTTTTTACCAAAAAGTATTGGCATTTTTTAAAAGAAGATAATTATTTACGTAGTTTATTTTCTTACATATAGCTTTCTTGGCATTTTTTCCTACACCCGCTAAGAAATCATTGATAACGGATGTCTAATATAAGGGAAAATCGTCTTCTAGAATCTAGGACCTGTAGAACATCCTAGTCATCTAATGGAGGGATTCGGGTCTAGTAATGAAATTCGTTATGATTTTCCATTAGTATGTGGAATATGTATCATTATGTCACATCGATAAGATATTATTTTTTCGTTCGTATGAGATTTCTCGTAATTCATCTGTTTATATGGATAAGTTTTTGAACTTCGTATGTTTATATATTAGTTTAATTATTGTTTTGCTCACATTGCGAGTGTGGTTATGCGTTTGGGTTCTGTTGTCTTTAATCCACACACCGACACCCTATTGTGATAATTCGAGTCGAAATTCTAAATCCATTCACTCTTGCAGTAACTCCAACAGTAAGAAATATTGAGTCAAATAAATTGTTTATTTTTCATCTGGTGTTATCCATTAAAAATACTAAGCAACTGAGTTTTCTCTTCAGCTATTTCTGTTTACGCTTTCTCTCTATCTCATGTTCATGTAAGAACAAATGAAAGTTTTAAGCATGGTACACTTGTTTTGAGAATAAGCAAAAGAACAGAAAACAACAGAGCGAACCGAACGAGGTACTCTCTTCATACTGAAAATGAATGTAATCAGTGATCTTTTAGTTTTTCTTTTTTTTGACCATTGCAGTTCAATGACCTCGAACACACATGGTGGGTTCGTAAAGTAGTAGGATATTTTTTTTTATTCATTTTTAATTGTTCTATGTTTCCTTGAAATTATCAACCATAAACATGTATGAGTTACTGCGCTGACCGCGTCATAGTTAATAATCAAATACAGATTTGGCAGGTAGAACATTTTGTTGTGAAGCTATTGATATGGGCGTCGGCCTCCTCTTCAATCATACCACAAAACATGTACAACCGCCGACTATCCAAACCAAACCTACACCCACATCCTTTGTTAAACATTATTTGCAAACAATATCTTTGGAGGAAGCCGATCAAATGTATCTACTGCTCTTCATGTTGCTTCTGATCGAGGACGCAAGCAAATAGTTCACTTGTTACTAGAAAAAAGTGCTTGCCATTCTAAATTAAATAAATACCATTGTACTCTACTCGATGAAGCTGAGACTGACACAGTAAAGCATTTAATTCGGCGTCGTATGAATAATACTCGTTTTGTCAGTAACTCAATTGAATGGATTCTTTCTACCGATACTGCTGATTTTCAAGTCCGCGGGTATTTAAAAAAAGATGGAAAATTCATGGGAAACATCCATAGTTCTATAAAATAGTCGTTTACATAAAGGAAAACTAGCTTGAAAACGAATTGCACGATATTGATGTTTTCGATACAATAAAACATTTTTTTTCTATTAGTAATACATGAAAAAGATTCCGAGTATTTACTAAAAGCATACACAGCTGAAACTGGTTTTTATTCAACGCTCAATTTTCATCTATAGCAAATACACCTTGAACCTCTGATTGCCAAAGAGAATCTTAGTCGAGCATAGTTTATTGGAATTATCGCTTGCCATCCAAAATTTGAAACACTTTCCTATGTTGGAGTGGTATCTTGTAGTATGGTTACTACCAACAACGTTATAAAACCACACAAGATACGTACAAAGACTTTAAAAAAAACATTTTCTTCAACATAAAAGGAGGGTGTGGGTGTGGGTGTGTGGGTGTGGGTGTGGGTGAGTGTGGGTGGGTATGGGTGTGTGGGTGTGGGTGGGTGTGGGTGGGTGTGGATGTAGGTGGGGTGTGGGTGTGGGTGTGGGTGTGGATGGGTGGCGGCATGGGTATGTTGAAGAGTGTTCACACCTGCATCCACACATACATCCACACCCACACCAACTCCCACACCCACCCACACCCACACACCCACATCCACACCCTTATCATAGAATAATTTTTAAGTAGCAGAATGATTATTGAGCATAACATGGTGATATCTTTTTATCAAATGAATATATTCAATTTGCAATCGAAGATTGATTCTATACTTACAGTTTATTCTCGCTCTGATGGTTATATTTTTATAGAAAAAAAATATAGTTAAACTTTTTCTTAATAGTCTTATGTATAGACGTCTTTAAACGGCTATGTTGATTATAATAGTCAGTCATATTTTCTTCAGTTGGTTTTCTTCTCAAAAATAAAAATTTTTGATTTTTTTGAGTAGCTACTGGCATGATGATTAGTAGTGACATGTTTCAATGAAAAAGTTTTCTCTGAAGACACCATTTATTAATCAATTGAAGGGAACATATAGCCTACTCTTACAAGTCAAATAAGTTAGTTAAAAATATATCGAAAAGTTGGCTTGATCTTGTACGAATATTGATATTTATCATTTGAAATAACAAGCATAAACTCTGGAAAATTATGAAAATAAAAGTTTTCAATGCTGATACTGGCATCAAGCATACATACTCTTTATTCATACAGCTACAATTATATATTTATGAGTAACAATCACTTTTATAGAAATCTATTAGTATTCGCATACTCTGTCGTTGTAATAGAATCAGAAGATTTTTCATAAGTTCAGTAATATTTGAACGAGAAAAAAGTTAGTTTCTACTAATGATCTCTCTTTGTAATCTCATACAATAAGAGAAACTTCATTTGGGTACAAACATGAAAATAATTAATTTATAAACGGAAATAGTCAGAGATAAAGTTTATCTTTAGAAACATTCATTTGAATTCGTTCGTAATTATGCTTAATCATACATATATAATCGCACGACTGTTTGATTGAGAAAACAAAATCGTAACAAAAAGGCTTATATTTAAAAAAAATGAATACTCGATTGATCTGACTTTAGAAGATTGAGAGGCATTAATTCGTTGATTTAACTAAGATGATTTTGAAGATTATACAAGCTAAAACTAACTGACATTTATTTTTCAAAAAAGTAAAAAGAAACTACTATATAGTTTTAAGTCGAATAAATTAATTTCTTCTCGAATATATTGGATGCAACCTTTTAGAAAACTATTTAATAAGCAGATTTTTAATTCAAACAATTCTATTGTAAAATCTTCTAGTCAATAACAATCAAATTAGTTCTTCTAGATGAAGTTAGGTTTCTTCATTAGTCCTTCAACTACTGAGCAATCGTTGCCAATAGATTTATTTTTCTTTTAGTAAAGTTTGAGTATTGCAAATTTCTTTGATATTAAATTTATTTCGATTCGATTGATCACTGCAATTTTACGACAAAAAATGAAATTTTTCTTTTTATGTATTATTTGATTCTACATCAGAATTAATATAATTGAGGAAAATATTTATCGAATGTCTAGCATTGTTTTATTTGATTGAATAATAATCAGAATGAATTATTTCAGATTATTCGGTTTCAGAGAATACTTTTGTGATTGTGCGTACAGTATCAATCATGCTCTTGACACCTCTCATTTGCGGAGCCTTTTGAGTAGCATAATAGACTTCACTATATCCCCACCAATCCCAGCAACCCATTGGATTTATTGGAAGCATTAATGATTTTCGAACTTGTGGAAAGATGACAATGATATCGTTTAATTCAGCTATTTCTAAATAACCAGCTTTTGTAGCAAAAACATCTCCAGCAAATTGTTTTCCTATAAGATGAGAAAAAAAAAGAAAGAAAGAAATTATTTGTCTAGATTCGTTGAGAAACTAAATAGACAAAAACCTTGTTGACAGCCATGTAAGGCAACATGAATTGAGCATTTTTTACCATTGGCACATGCTGATGGAAAATAGATAAAACCTTCATCATCGAAGCTAGCTGAAGAACGACGTGTTGTTATTGATTTCTTGTTCGATAATTCATTGGGCATTACTAAATTGAATAGACCTGAGGGTGACCATTCCCAATCGCCAGGAGTGTATAAATACATATTGTTTTGAATCCATTCTGATAGAGCAGATTGTGTAATCTTTTCTTGTCCCACATTATCAGGAAAACTCATGAATGCTTCTTGATCAAACATGAGCATCTGACCGAGCAATGGAGTTTTTGCATGAGGTGTTGGTTGAATCAGACTGCCACCGTAGAGATGATTGAGCATGTCATATGCCAAATTGAAATTACTAGAAAAAACAAAAACAAATTTATTGTATTTGAAGTATAGAATTGATTTATTGCTACCAATTGTTAATATAGTTTGCCAAATTCAGTGAACTACATGACGCACCAAAACTTTCAGTAGCGAAACCATGATTAGCTGGCATATTGAAATTTGTCTTCACTGTTGCATTTAATCGTTGATAAAGCTCTGCATTTAGTTTAACAACACCAGGATAAGCTACTTTATCATATTTACCCGAAAAAACATAAACAGGATCACCAACAATATTTGAAGGATCATCAATATAGTCATTCGATGCATAATATTTTACTTTGTATTCTAGATTCGAAACAAAAATGTATAATGCAGGACCAGTCATACAAACAGCGGTTGTTAATCCACTGCCAGCACAATAATAAGGTGGACCTGCTACTACACCACAACCACTAATGTCTTTTGAATATCCAATATGTAATTGTGTAGCCATGGCACCTCCCGAGGAGATACCTGAAACTGTTACATCTGTTCGCGGTACACCAGCTGAAACCAATGATATAAAGAACACAATAACAGGATTCAATATAAGATACATCGCCATCATCTTTGCCTCTTTTTAATTTAAATAAATGATCAAAATAGAGACCAAAAGAATAGAAATAATTTGTAATTTGCGATGAATGAAAATATATTCTTTTTACAGTAGCTTAAATAGCATATTTTCGATAGACTATATCTAATAGCCATCAAAAAGGGATTAGAGCATGATTGATGATATGATTCTTTGCATGTTATAAACGAAATTTAAGATTGGAAAAATATGATGATATATTATTACAGTATATGAGTCGTCATTGTGACGATACACAGCATTTCAGTATTGCGCGATATGAAAGAGGTTGAAAATACTGGCCTTTCAAAGAATCTAATGATTTCTTCCACCTATTACATTCTATTTACAAAAAATATTTGAAGAAACATATCAGATAATATCCTTAGAAAAAAGTACAGTTTTCATAGTTATATATCAACTATTTTATTCATAATTGAAAAAAATAAAATCATTTCCAAAAAATAAAAAAAATCAAATTACCGATCGTTTTGATAAAGTAATATAGAATTACATCTCAGGAGGATTTAATATTCTTTTTTGAGAATGATTTACTGATAAATGATATTGATTAAAATAATATCGAATCACATATCAATAGATCGTATATTTCATATTACAAAAATCAAGAGAGATTTTTATCGAATTCTTCTCAAAAATAATTAATTAAACAAATTACAATATTAATTTAGCAAGAAGAAAACGATGGCATGACTCCAAAAGAAGTGAAACCATGAATAAAATCATCTGAAGATTTTTTTTTCTTTTCAAAAGCTTAAAAACGAATACTATTTATTTACCCTTTGAAAATACATTTATGACCAAATGAACATTATTTTTAAACTGTATTTGTTACAAATGACTTGAGATTATACGATTTTTATGACATGTAGTTTGTCGTGTTAAGGTATTATCATCAATTTTAACAATGTTATTTCTTTCTATTTTATTCAAATAAACACATAGAATTTCATTTTACAGTGTTTTTACTCATTTCATTCACTCTTTCTCTTCATGTAAAACTTTTGAAACTAAATTAATATTTTTTAAATAGATATCAACTAAGGAAAGGTCAACAGAATAGAATAGCATTATCTGGCAACATATCTCTTCCTGGCTTGTGAGACCAGGACAGAGTATGATAGGTTATGTGTATCCAGAAGGGCGCTAATTACGAAAAATATAAGTATGATGACGGAGAAATCAAAGTTAAGATAACGAGCTGTTCTAATCCTTTACGCAAATAGAAGTTATACACTCATCATTGCATGTTACTAGTTCTCACTAGTCTCTTGAAAAAAGAAGCATCTAGCAAGTGCTGAGATCACATACAATTTTCTTTTAATATTTCAATATAAGTCCCAATCGATGGAGACATTAAAGAAAATATAAGTTTGTTTTCAATTTATCAAATATTTTATTTCACTTACAAAATATTTCACATCTGTTAGAATTTGACGTTAATTAACTATGTATCTATATGTGATGGATTCAGTTTTTACAATTGTTTTGTCTATTGAATATTTATTATTATCAATTTCAATATAACTCATATTGAATAATCTTCATTTTTTATTGAAATCATTTGAGAAATAATCAATTAATTTTCATATCAAATGAGAATGATTTATGATAAGTACCATTTACTAAATAACAACACGTTCCATGCGAAGTTTTTCTAAAATTTCACTATGTCCAATAATTTTTGTGAGTAGTTTTCGAATAAATTACAACAATTACTAGAAGTACACTTTTTGTTATCTGAATTATAAATTAAACTTAATAAATGAATATATTGATAAAATAAAATTGAATTGAAAATAAAAGTTCTATTTAAAATAGTTGTTCTCTAAGAATGTGAATAAGGAGTCTTATGGAACATAAATCTGAAGCTCATTTTCAATATTTTCATTGAAACCTTGTATGTTTTTACAGTTTAGACAGTGAATTCATATAAAAGACGAATAATGAAACATAGAAATATTTTAATGACTCTAAATTTAAATTTAAAATAAAATTAATCGAATATCAATTTAAATCTAGTTTGAAAGAAAACCATGTCAAACTCTTTAAACTTTCAAAATGTTTTGTTCGTTTTGTTTTTTCGAATTCGTTGTAAGAGAGAAAGACAAATAATATTTGATCTAAGGCATAAAAAAATCAATGGACCATTTCGAAAACAAACACGCCATATTAAGATGCATGAATCATTTTTCACCTTTTAATATTGAGATTAAGATGATTTATGTATTTAGAACCATATTATAAGAAACTTTGAAGATAAATTGTATTTTATTCAAATATTGTGGAAAAATTATTAATTTGATTGTCGAATAAATCTCTTTTATTAAGATTTCACTATAATGAGTTCTTACTACTTCGATAGAGTTTCAAAATATTTCATAGTCATCATGTTATATTAATGAAGGAGAGAGAAGCATAGGACAATCTGCCCACTCTCATTTTAATGAAAAAATCCAGGGAAGTTTACAGAATTTTGGCAGCATGAATGTTTTGCAATGCTATAGTAATTTTTACTATCTGTCAAAACAACTATTTCCACCCGATTTTTACAATATCTTATCTGTAAGCTACTTTAAAAAGTTTCCAGACCAGACTGGAAATAGTCTTTTTCTAAAAGAGCGGAAAATTCTGCATCTTTCCATATAAGAATCACCTTGAATTAATGAAATCATAATGACCTTCATAGTACTAAGTTGTGTTGTTTTTTCGAAATTATCCGAGGATACATTATTTTCTGCTTATAAGACCCTTCAGTAAATAAATTATCCCAGCTGAGACGATGATGTATCGCAACACAGCGTTTAATACTCTTCAAGATGGTATACTTTTTATCTCGACCGTTGAAAATATTAGAATTTCGGAGTTCTCGGTCTTTTACAAGAGATAAGTCGTAGACAAAATGTCGTTACGATGAACTCTACTATGCATAGATGGATAAACATTTGAGGGCTTGTCACAGATGAATTTTTATGAGAATCATAAACACTGAAGTCACTATGGACTATGTACCGAATAAGTACAACTGCGTGTATCGCTGATCCAAGTAACGTATAGGTCTAGTATATGTAATATCATGATGATGTATCTCATTCTCTTATCGAGGTAGTTGTGTTCGGATATATTCAATTTCGTATACATATTGTTTACTGATGACATTACTCAAATGCCAAGAAAGATACAAACAACATGCTTTGGATGTGATAAAGCTATTGACGCTCACTCAGATAGTGGTTGTTCCAATGAGCTTTTTCGTCTTTTCTTGTCGAGTCGTTCAATCGAGAGAATTTCAACGTCGAAAATGTCGGTGGGAGTTTGACAATTGAATGAAACATTTGAAAGATGACGAATAAGAAAACTTATTTAAATATTTCATGAAAATAATGGAAGACGGCACCTGAGTCCCTATGCATTCCATCAAGATGCTATAAGTACTAGACATGCGTCGGTTACTGGCAACTATCCACGGTATTTACCACTACAATTACTGATGATCATCCGCATCCTAAACCAGTTATTGGTGGTGAAGACATTCAGATTGCTTTTTTTAATTTTTTTCTGAAATCAGACTTTTGTTCTGACGAACTACTAAAATAAACAAAAGAAAGGAATATTCGAGTTTGCTTTTATTTATTTTTGAAAAACAAACATCTAGTTATCCCGTTTTCTGTTGCTTTGTGTATTTTTTGCGATTTGTCAAAACTGAGGGCGTAAGTTTGTGATGGTGAAAAGAAGACGCATATCCACGCTCCGAACCCTATATCCAGATCTAACTATCTTTCTTCTTAATTAAAATGATGTAATCTTCATAGAATTACAGACTTCTATTGAATGTATGACAAAAAGCATTCACATTGCAATATTGCTTGTGTATAATACCAAAAGTAAAACAGATTATATCATTTTATCAAGAGTAGCAAATCTCTTATATAGGAACTATTCAAGAAAAAGTGTTGGGCACGATCGAATAATTTAAAATTAGAAAAGATTCTCAGTATAACAGAAGTTGAGAGCAAAAAAATAATGACTGAAGTAATTCAAATCAATCCTATTTTTCTGTTACACAATTTCAATATATAACTTTGGTCATTTTCATAGAAAATTTCAAAAATTTGAAAAAAACACTCATTAAACTGGTGCTCTTCGATTGATTGATGTTTTTCTTCATAGTGCGTGTATCACTTGTCGTTGGTAAATTTTCTTAAAAGCCATTAATACGAATAATGATTGCTAGACGCTGTAAAATACATAAACGACTTGTGTGTGCATGAGGATGTATAGATTTGTTCAACCACATTCCACACACCCGCACTCTTTAGTTGTAAGTGTTCGATGAACATCTTGTCGTTGTTTACAATCGACCCATATTCGAATATCATAGGGATGTTTGATATCCCTGTTAATCAAACATGTAGATGGTAAGTGATCATGCAACCACAAAACAAGTTCATCGAAACCGGATGAAAATTCCTTTCCATTCCACCTGTCATTTTTGCATCTGGTGATTAAAGTTCGAAGATTAACTATATTTTTAGTAAGATCAAGAATAACCGTTTCATTTTCAACGTCAATTACAAGAACTTCACATTGACGTCCAAGCGATGAATTGACTAAGGCTATACATTCTTTATCGTTAAAAAACCGACTATCAGATCCATTTTTTTCTATCAACTCAAGTCGACGAATTGATGTACTTCTAATTTGAAATAATTCCCTGCGTAGATTAGTCAATTTACTTAGACCTAACGAATAAAGATGAGCTGATCGATCAAGTAAATGCTGCAATTGAGAATAATCAAATTGATCATTTAGGGATATATAAAGTTTAGTTAATTGATTTAATAATGGATAAACAGATAAAATATTATTATTAAAGAGAAATGTTAAATTGAGATGATAAACATTAGGAAACTCACCACGAAATGAGATCGAGTCCTTTACTAAATTCAATCTATTATTAACATATTTAACTGTATGTACACGATCATACGACCAAAAATCTACTACATTAGGACAAGTTGATTTTGAACAAGTATTATCATAATAAGAAAACTTTTCAAATGCATATGGTAACGTATAAATCGTAGCGTCACTTATTGTAGCTGATGAAATCCAATCGCATTGAACATATTGTTGTCTTATTTCAACCCAATATTGAGTACTAAATGAATTAATTAATATATCAACTTCTTCTTCTTGATTATTAATATGTTTAAAATTAAAATTCATTTTAAATCGAAATCGTTTAATTTGTGGTAAAGCTTCCGTAAGAAAACTTTCCCATTCATATCCATTCAAATAGATACCCGATGTTTCAAGTGTTAAGGAAGATAAATTTTTTAGATTCTGAAACAGATATTTCATCGAATCAATTGAACCTAAATATATTAGTTTCAATGATATAATTGATGAAAAAATATTTTTTAATTCTTCTTGTTGGGAATGACATGAAATAGTTGTATGAAGTCGTCGAAGATTAGGCGTGCATTGAAATAAATAAGATAAATTGTTTAAATCACATTTAATATTTTTCATAACAAGATATTCAATTGATTGTGATATTATAGTACTTGCAATAAAAGCGTTATTAGACGAAGGAAAACAATCAAAATAACAATAGATAAGTTTTGATATACTCCAAATGTTGTTCATTAAGAGGAGCTTGCCTTTGTCGTCACAATAAATATAACATTTTATTATGTAAAGATGTGTCAAATGTTGAAGATGACGACATTGATATATTATTTTATTTATTATGCCAATAGAAGAAATAGAATTAAGTGAAAGTGATTGTACATATTTGAATTGATCCAATGTATAACCATGGGACAAAAAAAATACAGGTAAATGAGACGTTTCATCATTATCGGAAAGATTAAGCGAAATTATTCGATCAATAATCATTGGAAGATAATGTTTACAGATATATTCAAAATCATACTTCGATATTGATTGAAAATTAAGATGATAGTGTCGAAAATGCATAAAGAGTAATTTGTTAAAACGGCTATTAAGACCATCAAAGGCATGGAGTAGATGAATTAAGTTAAAATATTCGAATAAATCTAATAATAATTCGTTTGGCAAGTCTTTGAACTTCATCTCCCTTTTTCAGTTATAATAGAATGACGTAGGTGAGTTGTCGATTTGTTTTTTTCATAAATGAAAGAAAAAAATGTGTCACGTTCTTTTTTCTTATAGATTATTTTACAATGAGTCATTCATTGTTATGTCAACAAAGAATTTTTTCTATAGCTATGACTCATAATGTTACCTCAGTTAATATCTTAATTTTTCAAAAGAAGAGGATTTGGGTGTGGATATAGATGAATATGAGTATGTATTTCATACTACCATTCGCCTAATATTCTTTATGCGACAGCTTGCTATCAAGTTTATTTTCACTAGCTTTTTATTAGTAAATAGTAAGACCAGTACAGATAGTTATTAGCAGTTGCTCTTTTAGTTTCTCCACTTTTCCACAGTTGTTTCATAATGGTATGTTTATTTTATCATTGCTAAGATAAGCTCATCAGCAAAGCCATTCTCATCGCCTTGAGATTTTAGTAGAAATGTGCTCTCAGTTGAAGAGATTTTCTTTTTTGATTGAATTTTTGAAAACTAATAACTTTTTAATAACTATTTTTAGTCGATTACACAGATTATTTGAGATAGTAGACATCATAGAGAATTTAAGCTTATTCTAACCAGTACATACTCATGGGTCCGATTTTATAAATAATCACCGTCTACTTCTTTCCACTTCATTAAAGTGTTTCGAAAAGCGTCCACTACTTTTAACCAAATAAGAGCATACAACGTGTCATCTGGTTTCAAACTGAATTTTGAACACTAAATAAAATTTGAATTCATATTCAATGCCTCTTCATATAACAACTAAGAACTCTAAAGAGGCGCTAAAGTTTATAGCAACAGTATCCTTTTAGGAGGTAAGTGAAACTTAAGGCATATGTCGATCAAAAGTGCACTTTTCTAAAGTGAGGGCACTTTTTCTACATCATCATACCTACCAAAAATGTGTATAGGATATGGCACATGGCTTCATTGGATAGAATTCATAAGTCTCCTAAGTGAAAGTCTGCAAGATCGTAGAGATAGTTTTTTACCAAGAATGAAATTATACTAGACTACTCGTTTTGATATTTATTTATTTTTACTACTATAAATCTAAAAAAAAGTAGCAATCTTTCTACAAATGATTATGATAACATTTTTACTGATGCTGTAACAGATATGATTTTACTCGTTATACATTAGTTATGATTGTTTTACTATATTTTCTTTTCATAAAATATTTGGTTTTTATCATTATCAACGCAGTAAAATATGTACAATAGTTGCTAAAAATAGTAAAAATAAATATTAAAATTTAGAATTAATTTCAGAAGTATCCTAGCACTATCTTTAAAAATAGAAATCATAATCTTGGGTGGGCTATGGGTGTGTATGGGTGTGGGTGTGTGGTTGGGTGTGGGTGTGGGTGCGGGTGTGTGGGTGTGGGGTGTGGGTGTGTGGGTGTTGGTGATGAAAGCAGAATTACATAGGCTCACACCAATACTCTCGCCCACACTCACACTCACACCCACATCTACATTCATAACCACACCCACACCCTCACCCATACACTCACAGTCTTCATCCACACCCCACAACCACAACCACACCCTCGCCCACACACCCACGCCCGCACCCACACCCTCACCAACACCCTAATAAAATTGACTATATTAATTAAAAAGATAAACTTAAAGAAAAAAGGAAAATATTTTAATAATTGAATCATTCAAATGTAGAGTAAATTCTTTTTTTTTCTTTGTTTTTAACAAGTTAAGCTTATCTGAAAGAAAAAAGACATTTGTTACTTTGTCACTTTAAAAAAACAGTTGATAAAGAAGAGTGTGTGATAATGGTAAGAAAAAAAAACGTGTTTGATAAAAGAAATATATTATCTATGCTGTTGCTGTGAGATTAATTTGAATCTTGCTAATTAAATTTTAAGTTTTTATTCATCTTAAATGCTATGTTCTATTTTCTTCAAGAGTGAATTAACAGATTTGGGTGTTTGTGTAAAAAATGCACGGAAAAATTATGGTCATTGGTGGAAATCAATAACAGTTTTACGTGATATAAATATTACTGTTCCAACAGGAATAATGTATGCTATTTAATTATGAAAATACAATGATAAATATTAAAATCTAGATATGGTTTATTGGGTCCATCAGGATGCGGAAAAACAACTCTTTTACGATGCATTGCTGGCCGTTTAGAATTAAATCGAGGAGAATTGTATTAGGTAAACGACCAGGTAGCCATGGACATGAAGTTCCTGGTCGCTCCGTTGGTTATATGCCACAAGAAACAGCACTTTATAAGAATTTTTCAATATCAGAAATGCTTCATCATTTTGGTCGTCTTCATAACATGAGTCGAAAAGATATTTTAGCTCGCGAAGAGTTTCTTATTTCATTTCTTGATTTACCCTCAAGATCAAGAAATGTTTCACAATTAAGGTTTAATTGAATATTTATTTTATTCAATAAAAGATTGTTATGTTTTTTTTTGTTAAAGTGGTGGTCAACAACGTCGTGTATCATTAACATGTGCTCTTCTTCAGCAACCTCAATTATTAATTCTTGATGAGCCAACTGTTGGAGTTGATCCTTTACTTCGAGAAAAGTTTTTACATTGATATATCTAATCGTTTTATTATTTTATTTTATTTCATTTTAAAGAATCTGGCGTCATCTTATAAATATATCAAAAACAAATAAAACAACAATCATAATAACAGCTCATTATATTGAAGAAGCAGGAAAAGCTGATCGCGTAGGAAGTTTTACTTTATTTTATTTGGAATTATAATTGTACAACAATACTATTTAGGTTGGACTTATGCGAAGTGGGAAAATGTTACCGGAGCATGAACCATCTAGTATTCTGAACAAATATAATCAAACAGTTTGTTTTTATTTTTTATTAAAATAATTCAAGTAAATCCAAAAATAGTTTCTTTTAGAGTTTAAAAAATGTTTTTCTTCAATTATGTTATCAAGATCAAAATCGAATTCAGCAACACGTTTCAATGAATCGAATCGATGATGATAAAGATACTGATATACCTAATGAAATTGACAATGAAGAAGAACCTTCTATCTCTCTTGATGTATCAAACTGTAGCAATGAACAAGAACTTTTGATACCGAAAAAGCAGAAAAGAAAATTTGAAAAAAATCGTAAGTTTCGATTGAGAAATAAAATAAAATAAATAAGAAATAAAATAAATTTATTAAGCATTAATAAGTGCAAAACAAGTTGCAGCTGGTTATTTCGTATTTCCTCATACACATAAAATTTACGCATTAAGGATGAAAGATTTTACAGTCATTAAAAGAAATATCGGGTAATTCTTTTTCCTAGCATTTCTTTTATTGATTAATGTTGCTGTGTTATTAGTTTATTGTTGTTTGAATTTTTAATTCCTGTTGTTCAAGTGTCACTTTTTTATTGGTCGTAAGCTAATTTAATATTTTATTGAATTAAAATTGTTATTAAAATGATATTTAGGTAATGCTGAACATATTCCAATGGCACTTTATAATAGTGAAGCAGTAAATGGATTCCCAACAGGATATTTAAGTTTACAAATTATAAATAAATTAAATCCCGATCAAATTCATTTAATATGTTGAAATATTTGTCTTTTTTAATTAAAATTTATTTTATTTTAACAATGAAGACATCATTTGATGATTTTGATAAAGCAATTGATCTTGTTAAACAAGGAAAATATTGGGGTGTTGCTGCTATTCCGTATAATTTTACACAGGCAATCAAAAATAAGCTCGCATTTTTTCTGTTTGATTTACATTTTATCTTAATTCAATTTTTGTTTTAAAGATTATCAGCATTTCAGACAGATCCAGCTACATTAAATGCATCATCACTTCATCTTTATCTTGATATGACGAGTAAGTCGACATTGTAGCAAGAATATCTGCAATAATAACATAATAAAAAAAGAATGAATGTGTACCAAATAATTGAATTAAATTATTTCTTTTGTATTTAAGATGCCTTGATTAAAAGTTCTGAGAACACCATAGACAATCCTTTTAATCACTCTTATGTAATTCAATAGTACTGTTTGTTCTTTAATCATGTATATCTGAAAATTATCACAATATAATTTCTTCATATCCAAAATGTTAACCGTCTCATTAGCTTCTATCATTTTTTGCTGTTGTCAGGCAATGTAGAGAAGATCAATACTCGAGAATTGTCAGATATTGTCCTTTTGAAAATGTTGCTTAAATGTCTACTTAACTTAGAACTTTTGTGAAAAAGTTTGTTAGCGCAACGTCTTTGGAACTGAAATGTGGAACTCACATTTCTTCTTTAGTTTTATCATACCAATACAAAATACAGTGTAAAAATTCGAACAAACGACACTCTTTCTATAATTATCATTTGTCAGCAAAAACTGTCTCTTTTTTTTATTTCGAAACAATCTTAGCGTGAGCTGTTGCAGCTCCCCATTGCTTTCCCTTCCCCTATTACAGATTTTAACAACCAAGATTACATAATGGATATTAATGACAGCATTATTTGCCATTTTATTCAATACTCATAATAATAGAAATGCTAAATTTAGAACAAGTAGAAAAATAAAAAATAATGACTGAGTAGCAATAATAAAAGTAAAATGTAGGACACTCGTAACAAACAAGAAAACGAAATTTCTTTTTGAAATATAGAAATAAAAAACACAACATTTGCTGATAATCGATTATCATGAGGACAAACGATCGACTTTTAGAGATTTTACATTGTGTATTTCGTATTAGTATAATAAAGCTGAAGAAGATATTTGGGTCAATGTCTGACTCGGGTCAAGATTTCCATTTTACTATTGCTACTGACTCTTTATTTTTCATTTTCGTAATTTTTGTACTTTATCGTTTTTATTATTATGAATATTGAATTAATACTGCTGTAATATATATCCATTATTTAATCTTGGTTGTGAAACTTATATGAGTTCGACAAAATACTTAAAAACCAGAAGAAAAAACGTTGCAGTCATTTTTCGGAGGTGGAGATGAGTATTATGCATCAGAGATGTCCATGGCGGCACTGCCGCTGCCGCGGTGGCGGTGGCGACAGCGGCAGCATTTTTTTGGAGGACATTGAAAAACTGCATGAATTTAATAGAATTTCAGGGTTTACAAATGAAACACCCCAAGACTGAATGAATCTAATGGACTAGTACCAATATTTCTGGTCAAATATAGTTGCAGCAGTGAAATTAGAAACACTTTTTTGAAAACTGCCACGGCAGCTGCGCGGCGGCGACATGTTTATGTTACAATTCATCGCGGCAGCGGCAGATTTTCAGCCGCGATGAACATCTATGTCGTGCATAACCACTTATGAGATCTTGTTCATGTTGAGTCCTTTAAAAAATTCAAAATGAAATATTTGTCTTCTATATTAAGATCAACAAGTGTCATTAACAAGGCAAAATGCTATGGTAAATAGTACAGAACTATTTTTAGAAGAAGTTTTATCCAGTTATAAAATTGATCCATCAATAGTTGACCCTCCAGTAATACTAGAAACTCCTGTTTATGGGAGTCTTGTTCCATGATTTTTAAATTTTGCTGCACCACGAATGATGACATCAGTAATATTTTTTTTGGCAATTGGCTTAACAGCATTAATATTTGTTGTTGAAAAAAAAGAAGGCCTTTTAGAACGTAGTTGGATTGCTGGTGTTACAACAATTGAAGTTATGTTTGCTCATATTATTGTTAAATTTTTTATTCAAGCTATTCAAATTATCCTTTTACTTGTTTTTGCAGATTTTATTTTTAAAGTTTGTTTTCAATTTTATTTTGTTATTTATTTATTTTACTTTTAAATTAAGGTTGAAATTAAAGGTTCAGTTTTCTTAGCAGCGGCATTAATTTTTCTAGAAGGACTTTGTGGAATGAGTTATGGTAAGTAAAGAATATGTTTCGTTGTTTTTTGAAATCGAATAAATTATTTATCTTTTCTAAAGGTCTTTTAATATCTTCACTATGTGAACAAGAAATCGAAGTTATGTAAGTTGCACTTGGAAGCATTTTCCCTGTTTTTCTTGCCTCAAGTTGGTTTTTTTTGGAACTTAATTATGGTTTTTTCTTCATGGATAAGTAATTCATACTTAAAGGTGTCATATGGCCACTTGAAGGAATGCCATCAGCAATGCGTTTTCTTAGTAATTTCAGTCCATTAACACATCCTATTGAGGCAATGCGGTGTACAGCTGCAAGAGGTATTCGATTTGTTTTTTTTTAATTTAAATCAATAGATAACTTGATATCATATTTAGGTTGGTCAATTTTTTATTTTAAAGTATGGTTTGATTTTGTTAATGTTAGCGCATGGAGTTTGGGATTTTTTATCATAGCTGCTATTCTATTTGCTCTTAGAAAATAAAAGTTCTTGTTCAGTGTGTTTATGGGTGTGGGTGTGGGTGTAGATGGGAGTGTGAATTTCTTTGAATTTACATCCACCCACACCCACATCCACCCACACCCTCACCCACCCACATCCACACCCACACACACCACACCCTCACACCCACACCCTCAAGCTGGAATGAAGAATACTGTCAGGAAACCTAATACAGTGCTTTTGAACAAGCATCAGTCAAGCTTGACTTTGTTCTAAATATGTCATAGTCCATAGGAGAGAATACAGGCTTTATTCCTTACTCTAATTTATTAGAAAGTATCATTTTTTCGAGTTTTTGCAAATTCTCTGCGTCTATGAATTTTAAGGACAAGATTCTGAAAATTGTTGCATAGAGACAACTTTTTATGTTCTATCATCTAATGGGAAAATTAAAACTTTCATGTCATGTTTCCTGAAAACAATGATATCCGATTTTCGGGGACCATTTTTTCGAGAAAACCGACTTTTCAGTCTAGCCTATCGGGCTTAGCGCATGATCCCATTCGAAACAAACTCAGATTTACTGAATGAGTCTGTAAGTACTACAAAACTAGCATGCTTACACTTTGTCGGCAGAAAGTTGGTGTGAGAGTTAGACATCTGCAAAATCAGTTTTTTTGGTCCCGGTCCCGGTCCCGGTCTGGACTCGATGCCAGTTAAAAATTGTATTATGGTGAAAAAATTCCGATTCTTGAAACTGAAACGAGGATTGATGAAAATTTTTATCAGAATTGTAAAGAAAATTGCTGTTTTTTTAGATTTCTGATCACGAAAATATAAGAAATACCTGAACGCAGAATCGAGTTTCTGATAAAAAATAATACCGGGGCCAGCTTGAAAATTTTAGTCCCGGTCCCGTCCCGGTCCTGGTAAAAGTCAAAATTTTGGTCCCGGTTCCGGTCTCGCCGGGACCGGGACCGGGACCGGGACCAAGATGCCTAGTGAGAGTGGACGGACCTGCGTGAAAGCACCCAGGACGATTAATAGTACCTTTATAGTTCAAGAACCCGTATGATATATTTTTGTAGCCGGGTACAATTATTGTAGAAACCTTTGCGTTGTCCAATGTACAGCAATGGTAGTTTTGTTACAGTGCTTTCTACGTACCATCCTATTGCGACAATGATGCCGATTACAGATGCAGTAAGTTCGATCTTATGTGCTGCCATTGTAAAATAGCCACCTAGAGTATCTTGTTTTGAGTACCAAATAGCGGTCCGCAAATAAAGTGTTGCTTGAATTATATTCAGGTATCATTATGATATCAACTGGCGATCGATTATACCAAGCTCAACAATAGAGAAAGCCCATGATTAGATTAACAATGGCCAAGGCTATGGAAAGAAAAACATTCATAACATCAGTATAGTCAGCATCAGATTAGAACATTAATGATTGGCATTCGTTCTGTTTTTGTGTTCTGTTTCTGATTGGTTGTACTCGATGTCAAACTCAATTCTTCATTGAATGACGCTATTTTTGAAGTTCATTACCAGATAAAAGCTATCTATTCGTAGCCAAATAAAGAAATTTCAGAGTCATCTATGGGAAGTTTCTCATTTCTAAATTTGTCATACTGTCTCACATATGCTTACCCCACTTCCAGGATGGCGTAACACTACTTCTTTTAGGCAGTCATGGTACTTATTCTATTCTGAATTGTTGTAGTATACCTGCAATTATTTTAAATGACTGTATTCGATCGAAAACTGAACTCTTCATAGAATAACTGGCGTCGGGCTGGGTAAAAGTCAGTCGTCAGACCACATCCACCCTTTATTTGATGCTGGACGAAGATTTTTAAAAGTAAACCTCTTTGATGCATAAGCAAATTTTATACCGCTGGCAATCTTTCAGGAAGACAACGCAATTTGTATGACGCATCTGATCGTATAATATAGCTGATAGAATCCAAACAAGTATTCGGCTACAAAGTGATAATTGTTGTTCAATGGTACCGTCTGAAAATTGCAGTCTTCAATATGAGAGTCGCAATTTGTATCTAATAGCATCGATTAAAGACATAGTAAAAACGACAGGACGAATCAGGAGCGAAAAGATGCGAATCTGAGGCTAACTTTACTAACGTAACATTCGTATGATAATAGTCAAAATTGAGGAATATATAACTATTGATTGAAACACAAATCAGTGTCAGAATTTACCAATAGAAAGTTGATTCGCATATGGATTATTTTGTATCGATCGATCGAGAATAGACATTCGTACTGTGCTGATATTCGAACCATTTCTAGCATTCTCGTTTCACGTATTGTTGGGTAATGTGTCGAAATTTTCATTGAGGTCAAGTGCTAAAAGCACTACTGAATAGACGACATAAATGCAGTTCGACAACATAAGTTGATTACGCAGTGTCTTTTTCATACACAAAGGCCAACGTGCTTTTATCTGCCTCCATTGTAATGCTTCTACAATGGAATCAAAAGGTTCCAGCTCATAAAAGAATGCGGTTAAAACACTTATATTCTCATCGCGGCCATTGAAAACTCTTCTAACCACAGGGCTTCGAAGCATCGGCGTAGAATAAGCAGCGTGATTTATCAAGTAAATGTTCCATCTTGATGTAATACATGTGGGAAAGCGATTCTCTTTCTTTTACGTCGTCATCAACCAAACGTTAGTTCCTATGTGATGCTTTTCTTGGTGCATGCTTTGGAAATGTGACATAGTATGTTTTCTCACGTTCTATTTGTTGGAAAATGCGCTACAGTGCTGAAGTTGTGAGCTCACAATGCCGATGTAATTACGCCTCGAGATGACACTCACTCTCTTTTTACTTTCAAAAAGGATAGCAAACAGAAAGAAAGGGTGTGAGTGTAGGTTCCTGTGTGAGTCTGAGTGGGTGTGGATGTAGGTATGAGTATGAGTGCGGAGTGTGGGGTTCAGAAAAATCCACACCTGTACACCCGCTCAGACCCCGCACCCCACACCCGCACACCCACACATTACTTAATCAGATCTTTTTCCTAACGTGACAATCAAAAGCACAATTAGTGTGGGTGTGGGTATGAATGTGTGTGTGTGGAGTCAAGAAAACCCACACCCGCACACCCACTCAAATCCCCGCACCCAACATCTACACCCGCCCTCATCGAAACTGCATGAGAGAAAAGGAATTGGACTCAAGCCAGTCTGGGCACCTCAAATGTTTCCAGGTCAAACAATCGGATGCTAGGGTCTGCCAAGATTCTGTATCCGATCTTATATGATCTTGCACGATCAAACAAAAAAGTCGCCGTCTCTGCAATCTTACGCAAGATCGTACTATGAGATTCTTGAATGATCGTGCCATACGATAAGATATTACTATAAGAAATACAGGAAACCGTATGTGACAGTAAGATCTATCAAGACTCTTATAATACGATCTTATGCAAGATTGCAGAAACGACGTTGTTTTTTTTGTACGATTTTGTGTGATCGAACAAGACCTTACGTCTGCTTTTTTGACCTTGGTCTAGGTTACCCAGGTTCAAAAACCAGACGTCAGATCGTACAAGATCTGATAAGATCTTACGCTTACAAGACTTTTCATATGATTTTGTCACAAGATCCGACAAGATCGTACTTGTTCGTTTTTTTCAAGATTTCGTCAGACTCTGACTGTAAAATGTCAGCAAAAATCTTGCAAGATTTAATCATAAAGAAACGTATGGGAACCAACTGAAAGATTCTTGTCAGATCTTATCAGATCATATAAGATTCTAAAAAAAAAAGAAACGTACAATAGTAGGTATTGTATATCTTGTCTGTTCCTATCTGATCATGTATGGTCTGACGTGTTTGTTCTCTTATGAAAGAAATCATGATTAAATTGTTGATATTACCAAGAAATACAAAGAACCATAAAGTTTGTTGAGCAGTCTGATGTCGGATATTATTGAACCGATAAAATGACATTTAACTTCATATAAAACTCTTTCCATTGATGCATAGTAAGAGCATTGATCTATTTCTGAACTAGCGACCGCATGGAGAAAGCTGTCTTTTAAATTTAAAAAAAAACATTTAACTCTAGAATCGAAAACTTCAGACACGAGTTCTTTTTATTAAAATATGAGACATACATTTATCTCGCCAGGCACAAATATGCAGTACACGAGGAGAAGAAAGTTTTACTCACTAAATATCCATCAGTTTACACAGGTATTTACGACTTGCATAGTGATAAACAGCACTGAGAAGACATGAAAAGGCTGTGGGTGTTACTCTCCTCTTCAACAACACCCACACCATACTCACATCCCAAAATTTGTAAATCAGGTTTACAACCGATCTTCTTCAATTAAAAGAACAATTTTTTAGAAAAGTCCAGATGAGTCGACTATCTGCTTTGTTTTTTAAAAGATAGCAGTGTATTACAGAGAATTAAAGATCGTTGTGAAATGCTTTCCTCACATTACCTATGATTATCTATCAGTGTGTAAGTGAGAGTCAGGTGCATTTATAAGACTGCATATTCTTCGATCATGCACAGAGAGAATGGTTGCCCAAGTGATAAAATACACCTTTCACGAACGTACGAAATTGCGTTTATCTGTTTTTTCTTCCCACAGCACTTTCTTTATTAATCCGATTGATATCAACACTGGGCACTTCATCTTCGGTACACCAATTGAAAGAATGCATTCATTCACTCTCTTCGCTTTTCTTATTCTGGCCCTAGTTTGTGTCGCTTCATCCCAAAGGACAGAAGTTCATGACGGTGAGTAACTATTGCTATATCTGTCTCTAAAACTATTCCAATAATTGTCAGGTGTGTGTCCAAGCCTGCCGTTCCCCATCATTTGCCTTCGACGTATTGTGTGTTTGCCTTCAATGACAGAAATCAAGTGCCATGGTGACAACGAATGTCGACCTCAAGAAAAATGTTGTCATATTCCTTGCTCGTGTACGACCCGTTGTGTTGAAGTTCATCAGAGTTGAATATTTTTCCACGGATTAATAGGACAGAATAATGT